TCGACTTATATTCCAAGTGAAAACAATTACTTAAATATTTAATAAAAATAAATCAAAATTAAACTACATGGGGGATTATTCAGGGTATTCCAACTTAGTTGCACCAAAAGGGTATCTTACTACCAAATTAATCCTTGATTCTTCAAAGTTTAGTTTAGCCATAATAAAAAGGAGTATATAACAGCAATAGAATGTCATAAACAGTGCAGAATAAGTCTGTTCACATTTCAGGCGAAATTTATACTGTTGAGATAGTGTCAAGACATATTTAAGACTGTCAAGAATGTGTCGAGACATATTCAGACATTATTTAGAATGTCAAGAATATGTCGAGACATATTCAGACATTATTAAGAATGTCAAGACAGATCGAGACAAATTTAAGACAGTCAAGAATTGGTCGAGACTAATCCAGACTCTTATCAGATGATACAGGAAGTGTCGAGAAATTTTAAGACAATGTTCATACTGTTAAGACACTTGTCAAGAAAAATCAAGAACCTTATTAGACAAATTCATACTATGTCAAGAATTTTTTAAAATTATTCAGACAAATTAAGAATGTCGAGTAAAAATTCATGCAAATTCAGACAAAAACTGGTCTTTTCAGACTTTTTGACTTTTGTAGTGCATCCAGTGTCGAATATTTTTTTTGAATATTATTTCCGACATGATAAAAACAAGTATCCAACCAAGATGACAGTAGAAAAAATTATGGTCATTTTTGTTACATTTTTTCAGTTCTTTCATTATTTACTACTCCAAGGAGGCGGAACCAGACTGTGCAATAACAACTTCTGATGTGTAAGTTAGAGCACTCAGGTTTAAGCTCCTCCCATTCTTAGCTATTCCAACGAGAAGCAGTCAACAGCGGGATTGGAGAGTGCAATAACTAAAATATCGTTCAGTTAACGCACTCCTTTAGAAATAACAGAAGTTAACTTACTCAAAGACCAAAGGAAAAATTACCATTCATGTTACAACATGAATTGACAAAGGACTACGCAGCAGTTGCTGACATGCCAGCTCCAGACCTCAATTAAACTGATTAAAAGAATATGTCTTCATCATTTGAAAAATAACCACAATCCCGTTAAGGTTTAAGTATTATGCCTTCATAAACTGTACGAGAAGAACATAACCCGTGTCATGCCAACAAATGGTTTTATAATAAATGTGTTTATTCCCGAAGACCCTATGAGTGAATCAATATTAATTACAAAAAATGCCATCCTAATGACTTGACAGCAGTATCGTAACTATATATTTTGTAATTTAATCTGTTTAAAGGTTTGGTTAGCTTTTGAGGTGAATGCCGTCATTTTTGTGCTTTGTATATAGAATATTACCATAAAAGATGGAATGTGAATTAACTGAACGTTTAAAATGTCTACACGTTGATTTATAATTACGAATGATTATTTTGATAACAAAGTTGAGATTTATAAACACCATAAGTCTACAAGTTACTTTGATTAAATCTGGTCTCGTGTCGACTTTTTCAATTTCAAAACTTGTGATGGATTTGGTAGAGGTCAAGAGAAAAACTCCCCTCAAATGTGACTACGCTGTGCAAAATGTAAAAGGCAATTGATAAACTATTTCTTTGCAAGAAGGGTTCACTATGGTTTAAATTTGCCATACAAAATGCAAAAAAATGATTTTTTGGATATAAATGTTAAATTCAAGGTTGTGAACGTGATGATCTCAACTTTATAAAGCTTTGAAAATTGCAAACAAAATGTCGATAATGCATGATATTCTTAGAAATCTTCGAAATCTATATATACTACTAAAATAACGAGGTCCAGTTTGTTAGCTGGTGTGACGTAAAAACGACGAATCAAAGAATTCAACTTTATATATAACTAATATAGGACAATGGTGTTGATTAAATATTTCACCATTCCAGGTCCTTTTGTTTTCCACATGATTAATTACCGGGTCACTTGAGAACAGGTCTAATTAGTCATATGCTTCACGTCACAATGGGGTAAATCTGTTAATGGATTCTCATTGGTAAATATTAGCTTATTCCGTATGAAGTAAAGGCTTAAAAAAAGTCTTAACGTCTGATTAGGTAATATTGGGGTACATCTATTATTTGTGAGCGTATCCGTAAGTGAGGCAGGAAACCATTACAATTTATATGCAGAGCAATATTCTGAATTGATGAAAATACAAAGCAAAAAAAAAACCCAACAATTTTCAACATAAAAAGCTAAAAACCGACAAGCTTTTTGGAAAAGCTATTACTTGTATTACCAATAATTAACAAGTTCCGGGTCGAATTAGTATATGTTGTTGTTTGTTTGTTCTGTATCTTCCACCTCTATTAGGAGCACCACCATGGGTTATGGTATCAAGGAGAACATTTAGCACACTGTATCAGTACAGATTTGATGTGAGTATTTGCCTACCCAGTTTCCAAGCCTGGATGTGACGGGGATAACTACCAGAAAGTCACATGAGTTTCCGGTTGAAGTAATGAATATATTGAAACAAAGAGTATAAACTAAGTTTAATTTTGTTCTCATAAAAAGTCGGACCCGAGCGATGAATATTTCAAAATTAGAAAAACTCCTTCACTTTATGGCTACACTTTGTATTGTATTTGGGCGATTTAAGTCATATCATCAAAAAAGAGGAAAAAATAAACCGTGTTTACCATATAAAGCATTTAAAAGTAAGTAAAATATATTACAATATATTGTAAAATATCAGTTGCAAATCAAATATGGAGCTTTTTTGTGGAGATAATTCAAAAGTCATATCCCCAATCTAGCACATTTTTCTTAAGATGTTTTCTTGTTGTTTTCTAGGGTCCGGAGAATGCTCCCATATAACCCCATACAAAAGAAGATCAATGGAATTAGTTCTCAATAAACCGAATGACGCCCTTTTATGTAGAAACCTGATGGTCCGTAAATAATTTCATTTTGTATTAATAGACTAAAACGTAAGGATAACTGTTACGAATATACAGTTCGTGTTCATTTATTACGATTAGAATATTCTTAGATGAACATCAATACGCCAATTTATAGTTCGAGGCAAGATTGAAATAGAGAAGGACCAAATTTGGTTACGATGCTAGTTCAATCTTTTTTGTATCCTTTTTCGAAGTCATAGGCATAGCGGTTACACAGATATATGTATACCTCGCCTCAAAGATGGAGGATTATAATGATGTCCGTTTGCTGTGTCATCCGTCTGTTACAAGTTTGGTTTCAGGATGCTAATTAAAGAATCGCTTGAACAAATGTTTGAAATTTTACAACAATGACATGGACCATAAAATACAGGTCAAACTGGATTTTGATGGTTTTGACATTGACTGCTTAAAAGAGATTGAACTAGTTAACTCGAAATAAGATCACCTAATTTTCATTAGTTTGGACTAGATTGGTAAATAATCATGTATCGGTTATACCAGCTGCTGACTAGTTCCATTAGGGATTAGCCTAGAATGCAAATTTACTGAAGTGGCTCCTTGGATTTGAAAGGACAGTTGCAGTCTTGTTATCAGCTTGTTATGTCTACCATCCTAATGAGAATGCCTAAAGAAAGTATCATATTTCTACGTATGGTGTCATGCAATAGAAGTTCCTACTTAACATAAAACTTCCAACTTAAGAAATTATCTGGTATATTATTTCCACTGGAAATGTTACTGTATTTGTTTCTATAACGGTTTAATTGGTATAGAAAATTTAATGTGTCCTTTCAAGAACAGATACTACAGCATTGTCTATAATAAAGTTTCCAGAGAAACTTCTGTTAGGAAGCACAAATATATATTGACAGTGTTATATGATATACAGGCGTCAAAGAATAAATTTGTAAATATATCTCTCTTCCACTTACACTGTACTTATGAACTGAGCTGCGTCGGATAGAAATCGACCTTATGCAAGTGAACATATACATGTACATGTATAAGACTTTGATTGATTTTGGAACATTCAAATAAGAAATGAAAGATGAATTTTGGTCTGTTTTGTAGGGTTCTTAAAACAATCGAATTTTCAAACAGTTACAGGCTTTGCTTAGAGATTTGTTTAACCCGAAATAGGATAATAGATGTATTGATATTCATTTGCATAAGGTGGATTTCTATCCGACGCAGCTCAACTGATAAAATTATTTTTAAAACTCATTCTCTCGTATTATACAAAGTAGTGGAGTAATGTGGATGTTAAAACATCCAATCCTGTTAAATAATTGAAAAAAGTCAAGTAGAAGCAAAATTGGAATTTCAGCATTTGTAGTGCCGTATCTAAAAAGAAGTCATAATCTTAACCAGAGACATATACATATAAAATTCAAGAGTCTATCCTAAATTGAGGTAAATTAAATGGCCTTCCAAATACTTTTCGATCCCTAACATTACTGAAGAGACATTAATTGTCGAAATCCGGATATGGTGTAAAAAATTTAGCACCTCATGTTGTGGTTTACCATCTTTGCCGCAAGTTTATTGTTTTCTACTTGGTATAAAGTTAATAAAGAGATCCATTTTGTTACACCTTGTGATCAATTTATTTGGCAATCGCCAATGGCAGTCTGCAGGGTTTAAGAACATCAGTTGTTCGACCTGCTAGTCAAATGCGTTTTGTTAAAATATATTTTTTCACTCTTTTGGTCTTTTGGAAAATGTTGTTTGTGCTGTATTTAGACCCTTCTACAACGAAATTTGTTACATGCACACGTATAAAAATTGCGGTTTGTATCCAACGCAATCATAGGTTTGAACGTTGTTTTCAATTTAGACTTGTTATATATATATATATAGTAGATTTATATGTCTCTGTCTAAACATATGCACATATAAACATAGACAAAAAACATATGAAAAAGAAATCTAATTCCATACAGGTTTATCACGCAGGGAAATAAATGATCTCCCGATGATAATTTAATTTCATACTCCACGCGTTTCTACAGTGACTGTTGTTCTATATTAGACCCATATTATGACCATATTATGACCTTATCAGATAGGTTTGTTCCGGAAGCCTAAATAAAGATTTATATAACTGTTGGATGTTTCACAGTATCTATTGTATTTGATGTAAGGTGACCGTTTATGAGTATCACATAAGTAAGTACACCGTTTAAGTTTTCTGTAACTAGTTTGTACCTATGTAGTTTTGGCAGCTTGATTTGTATTGTTAATAGGGAAAACTTTTACTGTACCCGCTTATAAATATCACGTGATAAATATAGATTAAAACAAATGAAAATTTTGATTTGGTAAAATTCATATACAAGACCATAGGCGGATCCATTGGTTGATTTTATAGGGAATCACTGAAGCATGACTAGAGCGCCCGCCCCCCACCCCCCCACCCCCCCCCCCCCCCCCCCCCCCCCCCCCCCCCCCCCCCCACCCCCCTTGATGAAAAGTTCTGGATCCGCCACTGAAGACAATAGAATATTTAGTCAGTTTTGAGATCACAAAACATGATAATATATTGATTAACCAATTACAATAAGTCGATACATCATAGAGAAAAATATTACGATTTAATTTCACTTGTGATCTTAAAACCAAAAATTTGTTATTTCCCTTTGTACATGTTGTACAAAAATTTAGTACTTGGTGTTCGAGTACAGAGTACGGTAAAATCACTGAACATGCTGAATGCATGCTCTTTCCAAGTTTTATAATGCAAACATTTATTCCTTTTATTGAATACCATACTTTTATACAATAACACATTGTATGCCAAATAATTTAAATGATCTTAAATTTATAGACCGATTTCAGAAAGTTACACAGTTAACAAAACAGTTAATCCGCCCGATGGCCTTCTAATTTGAATATAAGAATACACCATTTTTAAAAGATATTACATAAACAAAAGGGTAATAAAGCAAACACATACTTCGCTGTATACAAGAGCACATATAGTACAAGTAAAGAATTACAATTTACTTAGTAAAATTGTTACATTTAAACTGCGAAAAGTTCTCTTATTGTATTTTCAAGAGATTGACATTTTGTTTTAAAAACATTAATTTTATACTTTTACTTTCTTTCGAAGTCAAAGGCAAGGAATTCCACAACAAAGTTCCAGAATACATAAATGTTCTTTTACCATAATTAGTTTCATATCGTTGAACAAATATATTATTTTGAGAAGATGATCTTAATGCATATTTATTAACAACTGAACAACATGAAAATAGTTCAGATAAATATTCAGGTGCTAGATTATTCATACACTTATAAACCACCACTATCATAAAATATTTAATTCTACTATAAATGGTAAGCCATCCTAACTTTTTAAACATAAATGATGAAGAGATATATCAAAACCTGCATTTAAAGTTTCGCTCGCTCGCTACCCTTTTTTCGGAAAGAGTCCGAAGAACTAGAATTAATTTGGTGTGGCCTTAAATACCAATTTTTCAAAAAATTTGGAAACGGCTGGGAGTATGGATATGGGTCTATAATTGTTCATATCAGTTGCATCTCCACCCTTGTGGAGAGATATAACCATAGCTTCCTTTAGCTTATCAGGAAAAATACCTGTACAGAGACTTAAGTTATCAATATGTGCAAGCGACTCAGATACAATTGGTGAAGATAGTTTAAGGATACGCGGTCCAAATTCATCAAGCCCTGTTGACTTGTTTACATCTAGCTTAACAAGTTAATACTTCATATATTGAAACAGAATAGAGGGAAAATGAGACATTTTCGCTTATCTTGCTCTTCACAAACGATGCTAAACTATCTGAAGAGAAAGTGGTTTTGGGATTAGGCACTAATTTATGACCTATAGAACTAATGTGATCATTAAGATGGTCAACAATATCTGTCAAATTCGTAATATAATCTGTTTTAAGACTGGTGATATTATTTTTGCCCGAGTGATTTATATATTTGAGGTGTTTCCATATCTGTTTGCAGTTGCGATCGGTTTTAATCGCATTTTCAAAGTATGCTTTTTTAGATGACGTTATTTTTGAAGAGGTGAAATTTCTGTAGGTTTTGTAGTTTCCCATATCATTAAACTTTTTGAAATTATCTCTGTTAATTCTAACTTAGTTGTCGAATATCATCATTGCAATCTGGTTTATGATTTCTTTTTTACGCGCTTAACAATAATTGGAGCATGTTTATCTAACACATTCTTAAATAAACTATACCAAATGTCTAATATAAAAAGAAGGTGTGGCATGATTGCCAATGAGACAACTCTCTACAAGAGACCAAATGTCACAGAAATTATAGGTCACCGTACGGCCTTCAATAATGAGCAAAGTCCCATACCGCATAGTCAGCTATAAAAGCCCCAGAAGTGACAAATGTTAAGTAAGTCAAACGAGAAAACTAACGGCCTAATTTATGCACAAAATAATGAAAGAAAAACAAATATGTTTAACAGCAACCTGGGATAGTGGTGTATCGGTACAACATAAGATCAAACTATAAAAATCAATTGAAAATGGCTTAACTCAACAGATGGATACAAATAGAAATACATCTAACAAAAACACAGAGTGGAAGTGGACGGGTACTTAATTATACATCCCCACAACAAAAAGACACTAAGTACAGATCTGAAAGTACTCGCAGTTACTGACAGCTAGTCCAAAGCCAATAACAACTAATAAAAAAAATTCTAAATTATTGATGAGAAGCTACATCCAGTTTACTCAAAATTACTATTGGCGTCCAAGCTTTGGTTTCTTCATACTGATTCAATTTATATATGGTTTCTATATACTTTTGCCTGAAATAAGGAAGATAATTGCCAACTTCCGGTTTAGAAAATGTCACTTCCGGTCTCATATGATAGCTTTATTTATACTGATTCCAAAAATATATGGTTTATATATACTTTTGCATGTAAAAAGGGAGATAATTAGCTACTTCCGGTTTAGAAAATGTCACTTCCGGTCTTATATGATAGCTTTATTCACACTGATTCCAGAAATATATAGTTTGTATTTACATATGCCTGTAATAAGGAAGATAATATGCTACTTCCGGTTTATAAAATGTTACTTTTGGTCTCAAAAGATAGGTTAACCTATGGTCATTCAAAAAATATATGGTTTCTAGGTACTTTTCCATGAAATAAGTGCCAAAAATACTACTTCCGGTTCACTCAAGGTCGCTTCCGGTTGACATTTCTCAAGGTCATATGTCAACCAACAGTTTGCAAAAGACCCTATGGCTTTATCATGTAACAAGTTGGAGTAATAATCAATTAACCTTAAATTGAATCATTTCAGGGACAATAACTCCTATAAGATGTCATTGGATTGTTTCAGACCAAATGTATCATATCTTCATCACAATTAGGCAAACATTTTGCACTTGTTCTTTAATTTGTATCTTTAAATGTGACAGAGGAGATCAAATAACAAGGAAAAGTCAAAATTTAGAAAATGACCTTGACCTTTGACCTTGGCCTCAATTTCATTTAAATGAACCAAGGAACTCAAATCAATATACCTTAGGTCTCTATTACTTACAATTCATGCCATACATTTATATATCCCTTATGTCAAATACAGAAGGGAAAATAACTCTCATGTGGAGTTTACGTATCGCCTCGGTCAAAATTGGACAAAACATCCTTAGGATATAACGAGTAATTTGGTAAAATAAATTTGTCGATTTCTTTTACGGTTACGGAGGAGATGCAGTAACAAGGAAAACAGTGTTCAGGGAGATAACTCCTACAAAGAAAATTGTTCGGCTTAGAATGGGTGAAAATAAAAAGTGCATAAACTGTATGATATTATATAAAAAATATCTAAGCGACATCTTGCGAAACAAAAATTTTACATGAGAACAAAATTAGGCGGAAGAAAAAAAAAAAAAAATAATAATAATAATAATAATAATAATAATAATAATAATAATCAGAACAAATACAATAGGTCTTTCCACAGAAAAGTGGAAAGACCTAATAAATGGAGAGAAGAGGAAAGAAAAGAGGTGGGTGTGTGCCAGTGAGACATTTTATGATATATATGGTAAATTAGAATGGTTAAAAGTGCACATTTACAATATAAATCAATTGTTTTAAAAACAATTGTTAAACGGTCTTTCCTCTCCGAAACATGATTGGTCGGTTGGTTGGTTGGTTGGTTGGTTGGTCGATCGATTGATTGATTGATTGATTGATTGATTGATTGATTGATTGATTGAAAGTTTGCATGACACTCTCTCTATGCAAGGCATCGGACTTGACGTTCATATTCTGACGAGGCTGCGTACTTGTATATCCCGCACTCCCAAACGGACAGCTTCAGGATTTCCTAATAAATAAAAATCCTTACATCTTCTTTTTTTTCTAATTTTCTCTATTTGCTACGAGAACTGATACTTCATGGTTTCTTTTATGTGTTGTGTGTACATTTTGTTTCAACTTGTAGGAAGAAAAAAAATGAGTAACATTTTGTCTTGGAAGTTTCACTTTCCATATTTGGATATGGATCTCGAATGTTTTATTCTAATTTTAGGTCCGCGTTCGTGATGATGTTTTGAAGTCACGTGACGCTCGAATATATATGTCTGGAGTGACCGGGGACAGGGTGACAGTGGAGACCGTTGAACAGAGCACATGTGTACTGATCGGACAAACATGACCACTATTGGTTTTATTATTTACAGGTCATTGATGACGGATCATGCATGCATCTTACGTTCACATGTTTACGGGAGCACAGTTTTGTATTTTAATGCATGATTAAAAAATTTGATTGTAGGATTTCAGCAATATTTACGATTTTTCTACGTCATTGAATTTTATTTCTCAAACAAGCGGACCGCGTCTAACGGGAACATGAATTGGAGCCGATTTTTTGCAGGAATGACTTTCTATATAAGAAGTTTGTACATCAGAAGGATTGCATTTTTACAGTAAAATGTACAGGACTGAACTTCAAGGCGAAATGGGATTCCTCAAAGTAGAAGAAAAAAAATGGGGGGGGGGGGGGGGGGTGGTGGAGAATGGTGGAACTTGGTTGATAAATTAAGATAGGATGCATGTATACATCATGATAGCTGCAAAGTTTGAGGCTATAATTATTTCATTTTGTTCATTTTGCTATTTCAGTGGCATGGAACCC